AGACGGAGCCGAGTGTCGAAAACCAGCAACCCAGCCATGTTAAGGATCATTATAGACCAGTTGACCTTTTTAACATCGTCTGCTCTATACCACCGCCACCTCGTACATCTGAAGGGGAATCGGGCAGAAAGGTCAGATATTTGAACCAATGTTCTGAGTCACTAGGCGAGTGGATACTAATCAGGCTGGCTGGCACACACGCATGGCTGGCACACACGCACCAATATTGTCAGAGCGATTTTAATTTTCATTTTATCAAAGTCTCTGAGAAAGTGAGCGTTACGTGTTTCATGGATTCTTCTACCCTCTTTTCCATGTGGTGGCGACTTATTGCCAATGGCATTCAATCCTCCGCCTCCATTTCTCCCTCAGTGACTGTGCCAGGTCGCGAGTTTGTCGCTCAAACCGCCCATCCGAAGATATGAACGACATTTGGGATTTCAACTGATTCCATGTATCCACACTCCAGATCTGACGTGACCCGTCGCCTTCACCAACACTCTTGCATTGGCTGAACACCCATTGTCGAGCCGCGTCGGAGTCAAGCCACTGCGCTGCAGCGATGAGATCTCCCGCAATGCGCTGCGGTCCGCCAGTCCTACGCTGCTCAAGATTTGGGTACGCATGGTGGGACGGTAGGATATAGGGCAGGGCACTTGCAACACTGCAGTCTATTAACTCGAGCGCAGTGAGGCGAGATATGAAACTTTGCAGGTTCCTCCAGCGGAGTTGGGCTTCGCTGCCGGGTGTCTCAACTTCAGAGAATGGGTACGCGAGGTCTAAGAAGCAACAAATACCAGGTTAGTAGTTTAGTAACAAATATCATCGAATCTGCAGGACGCACCCTCAGCTTCTCGTTGGAATTTCTGAGCGAGGTATTCAACCGACGGGGTGCCAAATGACCACAGTGTCAGCTTTACGTCAAATGTCGGCTCGTCAGAGTCATCTTTGTAGCTGAGATTGGGAACATCGTGACGAGGCAAGGCCTTGAGGGCCCGGAAGAATTCGATGAGTAAGTTCTGCGCAGTGTGGCCGGGAGGATATGCAGAGCAAATCTTGGCAACAGTTCCAACCATCATCTCAACATGTCTGGAGGCATTAGGTCCCACGAGGTACAAACTATCCTTCTCCTCAGGAGTAAGATTAAATGGAGGATCGCGCTGTCTAAGCTGGTCATATTTTGTATTTACCTCGCGAACCGATTAAATGGAGGATCGCGCTGTCTAAGCTGGTCATATTTTGTATTTACCTCGCGAACCACCCATTCGTCAATAGCTTCCGCAGCTTGGGCAGGAGTGGCTCGTTGTGTGATCAAGTCATTGATAACTTCTTTATACGCAACATCTTCGGCATCGTCATCGTCATCGAAAAGGCGGGGGTTGAAAACGGAAACGTTGTGGGAAGCCATGGTGGCCGAGTATGTAGGTGGAAGATTTGGCGGGATGGATTTGACCGTGACAGAACAGAAGAGGGGCGAGATAAATGGTACAACAATGCTGCAGCGTGTCCCGTTCAATGACATGCGTGTTTCTGAAAGTATTCGTGTTTGCAGAGAGATGCTGTTGGAATTTGTGTCGAGCGGCAACATGAGGGTACCTTCGAGTGGCTGCCTGAGCTTTTGACCAAACTTCGGCCGCGTCCGCTGCGCGCCTTCGAGCTGACATCACGGCAAG